TAAAATAATTTTATTTTTAATAGGTAATCACTAGGGCTCGGATGTTGTTGCACTAAAAATGTTATAAAATTGATTGCATTATTGCTGTGAAAAAAACCCAAAATTTCATTTAAAATTGCAATAAAAAAATATTTTGTACCAAAAAAATTAAAAAATATATTAAAAAATTATTTTATGAAATGGATTAAGTCATTTTATTAAGTAATATTAAAAAGTTTTATTAGGTAGGTTTTAAACGAGTAGATAATAAAAAAGATTCAAATTCAAATTCTCGTCAGTTGTCATTAAAAATCTGGTAAATTGTCCGGTCTTCTTATTTTTTCAGAAACCTATAAATAATTTTATCAAAATTTAAAACTTTTTATTTAAACTATTTTTATTTTTTTTTTTAAAAAACTTTACCTTACCTTAAACCTGTATAATCTTACAAAAAAAAGTGAAAACACAAAAAAATACATAAAATTGTATTGAAAATGACGACAATCAACAAAATTGCAATAAAATTGAAAAAAGATCAAAAATTGCAAAAAGTTGCACTTAAATTTTTTATATATTAATTGGTACTCGTTTGAAACAAATTTATAACCTACTTAGCAACGAATCCGAACAATAGAAAAAAAGTTGCAAATGCAACAACATCCGAGCCCTAGTAATCACTTATAACATTGATTTAAAAATTAAAAAGTACAAAATATGAAATAGGTACACAGTGCCGTGGAATTACCCGTCCGCAACTGTCAGCCAGGACAGTACACGTCTATAGTCGATCATAGATTAATGTACTCTCCGATTAGTGATATAATAAAGTATGGCAAATTACATAGTTTTCTTGCATATAATTTAATATATAATAATATATATATATATTAATATTTATATACATTTTTTTATATATTATGCAGATAGTTATTTAATACTTAATCTTAAACATGACACTATTAATTGAAATTCATTGTTATGTAATTTTAAATTAACAATTATATATATTTTCAAATAGGTACTACATAAAATGTTACTTACTTCTGATTTAATTGTTTACGGATTGTTTATAAAACTACATTTTCGTAGGTTTATAAAAGTCTTTATATTTAACAAATGCCTTTTTATAAACTGAACTTTTTTTATAAAGATCACCATGGCTACTAGGTAAACGAAAAAGAACACAAAATGGAATATAATTTGTTATTTGTGTTTGATTTTTTAAATAGAAATATGTGTACAACTATTAATTTTCTTGATAAACTTGACAGTACAAAAGTATACTACAAGTGTACAGCATAATTAAATTATTAAAACAAAAATTCGCTTAGTATCGTTTTTCTTATACAATGATATTACATCATTGAATTCAAATTTAAGACCATCATAGAGTGATCCTCTTCACACTTGTAACCTACTGTCCAGCAGAGCGACATCCACTTTTTTATAGTTCAAGATCTCGAACTGATATGATAGGCAACCAGCTTCTTATTATTTTGGAAATCTATAAAATGTAGAATTTAGAATGTAGATATTTTAGTATTTACATTTAATCCATAAATTATACTTAATCCATGATAAACTGATAAAGTAAATTTCTTTATCATGTTATAATCATTATATTACAACTTTCTGTACATAATTACATTTTTGTTGAATTACATTTTTTCGGTACCTATATTAAGTTTTGATTGTAAAAAATTATAAAATAGTATAATATTGTTATGTTGTAAATTAAATATTGTTCTTTTACATAAAGCTTTTATATTAACAGTAAGCAATGGATACCTCCTAATTTAGATTTGTTAATAAATAATTCATACATGTTTTTATTATCAATAATAATTATATTTATTCTAAACTTAAAATATTGACCACAGATTTTAGCTTTAAATATACCATTTTTTTTACTTCTAAAACTATTACTTGATTAGTTTAAATTATAAAATGTTTAATATTTAAGTTAAAATCTTTTAAATTATTTGTGGTAAATAATTTATTGGTCCAGTATATTGCGAAAGGCTTTGTAAATGGTTGGTCCTCACAATTCTGTTTGAGTGTGCTTAATTTTTCGTAAAAAAAATACTAATTCTGGTCATCTCCCTAAAATGGGCGTATTTTTTTTTTCATTTTCCCCGGGTGTTAAAAAACTATGATCCGGTCCTGAGTGTATTATATTATATTGATTATTGATTGGTTGTTTTAGACATTATAATATAGTGTACCTAGGGTACACTAGGTACCATAGAGTACCTATATCCTGGTCTTGGATATCCATCTACTAAATCAGGATTTTGTAATTCATTGATATCGCTTTTGCAGAGTTTCATTAGTATTGAATTCTATTGATGCCTGCAGTGGGTTGGCCTTTTTATTTTAGCTATTGCAAAGCTTTTATCGCGGGCCTGGCGTGGTGACTGAAACAAAATTTCTCGTACTGAAAAAGTGTGACCGTAAGGTGTTATTATTATTTTTGTTATTTATAGTCTAACCAGTTGCTGAGCAAAAAATTCTCAAATAAAATATTTCCGTACGGTGTTTATCTACCATTATCAGCAAAAAAACTCATTTTGTCATTTTCTTTTCGGTCGTCGAGCTCAAAAAGTGTAACTTGAATTAATATCACACAAAAATAAATAGTTATAATTACATGATACATAGCTACAAAATTGCAATGCAATATTTTTGCCAGTCCTCGAGTGTTTATTTTTGTGTCTACAGCAGATGTAATACGCATAAGGGTAAAGACTGACTAAGATTTAGCCCCCTTCCAAAAAAAAAAAAATAGTTAACTATATTGTAACGATCTGGTGGCTTGGTACCTACTATCGTAGTGCTGATAGTAGATAAGTGGCTACCAAGAAATGAAAGAGTTTTTTTATGTTACTCTCGTGTAACAGGTTTATACATTTGTATAAGTAATTAGTAATTACTAATCAGTGTTAAAGAAAACCGGTAAGATAATTTATAGCGATGACTGATAAGTGTATGGAATTTTAAGTATATTATATGATTGGCTTACATGGGTCATGATAATGTCACATCTTTGTAAAACTTATACATTCTTTGCATTGTTAAGTATCGAACATGTTTGATGATATACATGGGAATGTGAGGAGTGGGTGTATATAGCCGTAGCCCCCCCCCCCCCCAAAAAAAGAAGAATTTTAACCATATTTTCGCCAATGATCGCATGTCATGACTTTATAGGTACTTTAAGATATACATATAATGACTTCAGGTCATTAAATAAATTAAACAAACAAAAACCTCTACTAGATACAATGGGGATGAAAGAACATTATATTTTACGGATTAAAGTGTGAGAAAAAGTGGAGTGCTGCACGAAGTCTGCACTCTCATCAAGAAATCCTAACCTTTTCTAGAGAATTGGTAGTGTTAAAATTTCAAAATTGGCATTGTAAATTGTTACACATCAGTCACAAAAATAATCAATGAACACAAAAATATATTCAATATGCAAATTTTCAATTTTTTTTTTAACAAAAAAATACACCTGTGTATTTTTTTAATTTTCTTTAATATGAGAGACAAGTTATAAAATAAAGTATCAAATGAACAAATGTCAAATTTTCATTGCAACTTAAAAAAAATTAAATAATATAATTAATATTACCAAATTTTCTGACTCCTTTATTGCTCTTATAAGACTGTGTAATATTATAGTATTATACTCAGCAATTATTAGGGATTGATATATTATATAAAAACCTAAAATGGTGCTCTGCTGTACAGTAGGTTACAAGTGGGTCACATGGTATTAAATTTGAATTCAATGATATAATATCATTGTATAAGAAAAACGATTCTGAGCGGAGACGGTATGTCTGCAGTCTAGGTTTAAGACATATTATATATATTATATCAATATTAATAAAAAAAAATATACACAGTCTTATCATTGAGCATACTTCTTATTCCTTATACTATGGCAGACTGTATGGACAATGTTATAAATTTTCAAGTATTTTTACTCAACAAATAAAAATTTATTGATATTCATAAAAAAAAAAACTAATAATATTGGAAACTGAGAATGTCCCTAAACAATTCAAAATAAATCAAAACATTTTGAAAATGTTATTGTGTACAGAAAATGCAAATATAAACAACCAATGAAAATTTCATGTATCAACGGTAATTTGTTTTAAAATTACACCGAAAACCAAATTCGATTTTGTGTAAAATTCCCGTTTTTCCTTAATTTTTCTTTTGTTTTTCACGCCGTTTTTTTCAAAACTACTGGATAAATGTTACTTTTGACCCCCCAAAGTACCAACTAGATTCACTTTTCTATCAGAAAAGATACTGTTGAAGAAAATCCAAGCACGTTTACTATCCTTAAATGTGATGACAGACACAAAAAAAAATAAAAATACACACATAATTTATTGTAAAATCAATACAATATATTCATCGTTCCACTCAGAATCTAAAATCCGGACCCTCATAACAGTATAATACAGTACTAATGTAATAATAATAATAATAATATGACGACACGGCGACGCATCGTCACATAAACACGGCGCTTGCGCGGACCGGCTGGCAACCGGTGCCACGGACTGCCGCGAGTGCGATCAGCTGTTTCGACACCCGACGATGTCGGGTTCTGCAGTTCAGTAATCACTAATCAGTAGTCTCGTTGACATCGTCTCGTGCACACGTTTCGGCCAGACTTCGATCATCCATCCACTCGCACGGTGTGCTTAAATAAATAATATAATATTTTTTAAAACCTGTCGACCACTTGAAGACACTAAAATCCAACTAAATTTGTTGTGACAATAGTATCTACCGTCCGTAATAAGCCTTTGCCGTGTCCGCGTAACCGAAATTAATTTTGCTTTCGTGGTGAACGTGTATTCAATATTTTGTTCTAAAAACCTTCTGAAAACGCTGATAACGTAATCGCGACAACGACAACAGTTGGTGTTCTCGTTGGTAGGCCGAACCGAACCATTTTACGGTCAAACCTGTGTCGACTACTCCCGCACAAGATGAACCTGATGTGCACAGAGTCGCAGACAGCGTCCGAAGATAGGTGTTTCGCCGAGGACCGGACCATTTTCCGCGACGAGCGGGCCGTCAAGAAGCTGTTGGAAACCGAGTCACAGTACGTGCCCGGGTGCGATTACATGGCCCACTCGCATTCCAACCTGCAGCCTTTCATGAGACGAGTGGTGGCCACGTGGATGTTGGACGTGAGTTGTATTCGTTTATTATCATAATCATTAAAACAATTTAATGCGTCGACGACGGCGGGAGCTTATCGTCATATAATTCACCGAGGAATGCGTACATTTTTCCGGTGATAAGTCGCGCGTCACGAGCAGCAGCAAAATTAAACCGCTGATTGCAGCGCCAGCTGAGTGGCCTTTTTTTCGCCGTTCCTCTCAATTTTTTTCCTCCAGATAATATGGTATTACGTCTGATACTCAAAACTCTCTCGTGTTGTTTTTATCCGTACCAATATCCCAGATTTTCATATTATACTATATTACTATACATACAATATCCAAGTTAGAAACTGAATAAAACCAGCACAAAAAAATTGAATTTCGTCCAATATCCAATATGGAAAAATGTCCTTAGATATAAAAATTTTGAAACTATCTATTTAGGTAGTATAGGTTTTAGGTATACCGAAACGCATGTCGGTTTTAAGACCGAGATACCTACGGCGAAGAAAGATTCATTTGATGACAGTTTCTTATCTAATGTGTAGGTATAGTAGGAATCTGTGACTGAGATTCGTATGTCAGTGGCGGATCTATCATCTATGGGGCCATGGGGGTCATATACCCCCATGGACTTACCATAAAATTGCACGCTCGCCTAGAAAATTAAATTTTGTTTTATAAAATAAATCCAAAATCTTTAATAATAATAGTAGGTGGTATACATGAGACATTAGAATAAATTATATAATAATGTAATATATGTAAATAAAAAATTGTCAAAGTCAAAGTCGCGCAATGCATAATATTTTGATTTTCGGTTTCAATTGATGGCGAATCCTTGAAATCTAGATGACTTTGTATTGTTGACGTTTATCGTCCTTCTGGCAACAATAAAATATGTACAGCATAAATAATAGTAAAAAAAAAAAATCTACGTAAAAGAACTCATATACCTACATAATATACTCGTATATTATACTATAGCACCTATAAATACATGGGTACAGGTACACGTGGACTACTCGTAATTTGAATACGATCACTGTATAAAAACTTATATGCATTATGTATGCCGTAATAACCATAATAAATGTGCTCATAGTTGTGCTGACTGGTGAGGAATAGGTAGGAGGTACCGTGCGAGTACGCGTATGCAATATGCATATTATATAATTATATTATATTCGAATATACAGAGAGAATAACCGCAACCATGCTCACTCCCGTTTTCCCCTTGATTACGAATTTCTTCAAAATATACTGATTTTTTGAAAATTTTTAAGTACCTATAATACTTACCATATTTTCAATTACTTACTTGGATTTTTTTCAGAAGAGAACTAATCTTGTTTTACTCTTAATTGTTAAGCAGATGAATTATTTTACAATGTTTATCTCAATTTTGAGTTATTTCGATCTAGTGTATAGTTTTTAAGTTTTTAAAATGTACATACCAAAGTATAGTCTATGGTCCTTACAAATGGTACCTACAACTATTATATCTAATACTCGTTTAAAAATTAAATTTAGTTAGGTACCTACATCAACATTTTCAAAAAATTCTTCTGTTAACAATTCAGATGCAGGGTAGTTTGTATGTATAGTCACTTAAATAGTATAAAAAATCCAACTTTTTTGAAAATATGATCCAAAATATATTCTAAAAATCAGAACTTGAATAAATTCATTACTAAAGGAAAAATGTGGAATGAGCATGTTTGGTGAAACATCCTGTTTCCTGTAAGCCTGTATTTATACACATTGTAAACGGCGTAGTTGTACTTGTATGCAAGCGCAGATCAAGAAGATTTTAACCGGGGGTGCTCAAAAAAAAAAAATGGTTACACCTTTCTACTTTGAATTACGTAATTTTGAATACATTAATTACAAATTTATTTTATTGGTTGCTTAAACGACAGGGGGTGCCCGAGCGGCGAGTACCAATAGCCCCCCCCTCCTTGAATGCTCGCCTGCTTGTATGGCTTTAATAATATATTACATAGGCAAAATATTATTAGATTTTATGTGTTTGTCGGGTTGAAGAATTATTATTACAAGATCTAACTTTTGACCGAAAATATGTCGACGTCCTCAATAAAGGAGTAAGGACGTACCTAACTCCGATTTTAAAATGTTTCAGTTTTTTTTTGATAGGTATGTCGTATGTCATTATGATGTTTTCTTGTGATTCAACTTCTCAACTCCGAGGTTGAAAATTAAACATAATATTACATCAACTTAATGTTGGGTTTACCGGCTAACAAATTATTTAAATAGGTTGTAAAAATGGTTCTTCTACGATTCTCCGATCTTTATTACTTGTTACTTTCTTCGTTGGGGACGTCGATTGTCGATTTGTGTATTACATTATTTTCACATAGGTACGTGCACGTTGTCTATTTTCATATTATTTACCCATGTACGGTGCCGCAGGTTCGGGTTTCTCTATTATTAAAATATACTAATTAACGTTTGTGAAGCGTTTATAGTTTATACGACTACGCATAAGAGAGGTGCGGACTAAGGAACGGCGGTAAGTCGTTCGCATTAATACCTATACGTTCAAGAATGTGACGACGACGACGACTTGATGTCGCAGTTATTGTAATAATTCATATATTATTATGTATGTCGTATCATATTGTGTACCTATAAGTTAAAGTAGGGTGGTACTCCAATCGCTTTGTTCTGTCCAATGCGTTTCCAAGTACTTATAACTTATAAGTTACCTATATTATACTATACATTATACAGTGGCACGTGAGAAGTGTTATAGCCTATGGGACATAGGTGACCGAAGGCTTATGACCGCGCGATGTTTTCTCAAATCGACCAATATAATAACGTGATAGATCGAAGGTATTATACATAATATTTAACAAACGACTGACGTGCTGGTAATCTAATTGTTATAAGAATAAAAAATGAATCGTCCTCCGACGACAGTCTGGTGGCAATTAAATTTACATCTATGTTTCGATTTTTAGTAAAAATAAAATGCGTGACCCATACGTAGTTATGTGTATTAATTAGGGCTAGGGACTTCTAGAAATCAACATATTATTTTTCAATCATCATTCATAACATAGCTAAGAAAATGTGTTTATAAAAGTTTCATAAATCATAATAGGTAACCTACTTAACAACAATTTTGTTTTTACATATTTTGCACGTTTTACTTTTTTTTAATTAGTATGGTGTTCGATATCATAATAAAATAAAATTATGTTGAATGATATTCCTCATTTGGTATTATAATTATAATAATAATTTATTTATTATTTGTAATATGTTTTTGGTTTCTCTTACTCGTATCTGTGTTTTGAGTTACCATTGTACTATATCTCTATTTGGTTTTCACTATTGATGATAATTATTGTTTAAGTGTTCTCGATAAAAAAAAATAAACCATGCGTGGATCTCACAGACGGGTGATAATAAAAAAAACAGTTCTTATGTAATTCCCTTGTTTTATGTTTGTACATATACCATAATAATATTATGTCAACTATATAAAATGTAATAACACTATTTGGTTCATATTTTCACTTCTTATGTTTTCCTTAAAGCTAATTAATTCGATGCGGATGCAGATTACAACTTAGCTTTAATAGGTTCAATGACACTTAAGATATTCAACCTGCACCGCTCAGCATTAGTTATTTTGTGCATCGTCGTACATAACAATATGGCACAAGTCATATCAACTGCACATAATATATATTTATTTTTATTTTTGCCATACGAATAAATAAATAAAATGTCATCTCTATAAGAACAATTAAATTATAGAGTTAAAATTAGTTGTACCATCAAGAAAAATTAATTGAAATGAAAATATAAATGAACTATTTAAAAAAAATAAGGTAACTTTATCTTCATACATCGATACACGACAATCGTGTACCTACGTAAACAGATAATGTTCCATAATATAATGTATTACTAGGTACTTAAATAATATCTGTTTTATTATGTATTTTAATTTATTATTATTTTTATTTTTTGTATAGGTATGTGAAGAACAAAGATGTGAAGATCAAGTGTTTCCATTATCTGTAAATTTTCTAGACAGATTTTTATGTGCCTGTGACATATCCAAAACACACTTACAACTCACTGGTGCAGTGTGCCTGTTATTAGCATCAAAAGTGCGACAATGTACGGCGCTTTCTATTGAACTCTTGTGCTACTACACTGAAAACAGCGTCACTCCAGAAGAGATGAGGGTAAGTTTTAAGAAAAATTATTAGAAAGGATTCTTATGGCTCCTATGTATGTATACATAGATGCATTGAATATGAATATGAGTATTGTGGTTTAGTCTTCGAAGGAAGTCGTCTCGGTCGGCTGTCTTTTCCACAATATCCTGCGATCATTATCTCAGGGGACAAAAAAATTATTAATTGCAGCTGCTTGGATATTATATCATAAGAAAAACCACATTACAATTAAGGCGTAATACTTCGTTTCCTCAAAATCCCTAGCTTTTATTGTTATCATCTCCGTCTTATTGTCGTATGTTCCGGTTTTGTCGTCCGGCTAATAATAATAAAATCAGTCACGGAACTTGTCTTCAACACACGATATTCAGTTTTTTGGTCTTACTTTAACTACTAAATTAGGCACTTAATAACGAATTGTCAATGTTATGATAGGGAGTGTAAACGTATAATTATTTATTTCCTGGTCGAGCTGATGCGTTTCCGATTCGGTAATTATGCACTGTGTATACTTGCGGTGTGTACGTAGAACATGTCCTTAATAAGATAATATGAGGCAATTTGATTATATTATAATATGTGGTACCTATTTTATATTTTACACAAAACTAATCAAAACCTGTTTTATTTTATTTTCATTATTTAGTCATTTTGTGTGAAATTTTCGATCTAGGATTATCATAGAAATACTGGGCGGGTGACGGGTGTTGCTTGTTTTGTTTTCAATTACTATTAGTACTGCTCTCTACATTTATTTTTGTATTAAATATTAAAGTTATGTATATTATTATAAAATGCATTGTTATCTACCGATTATTTTTTTATGGACTAATTGTTTTTGACAAGTTATAATAATATATCCTAAAAATTATGATTTTTTTATTGAAATTTAACTATAGATAAAATATATTATAACATAACGCTCCAAGTATAATTTTATTTTATTTAAACTCGCGCAATATACAGATTTAACATATTTTAAGTTATCATGTATAATAATTATATTTGACATTTGCATGGTGTAGAAAAACACCTTGGGCAATATCGGTAACTGAGCCATATTACATGTTCCATTATTTTTATTGCGTTTGTTTGTCCAGCAAAGGTCCGGTCCTTTTTCTCAACGGTATCGTGAGAATACAGCCATTTTCGTCGTCATTTAATGCAGCATATTTTATGCATTGGAAACACGTTTGCGGCTACATGGACAGCTTACTTATTCGTATATTGTATATTGTACGTATACGACGGGCGTGTCAAATATTTTTTGATATTATTGTGTCCTACAATGGAAACATTTATAACGCGTAGGTACATGTTTGAGATGTTGTCGGCCGTCCGGTTTTTGGGTTTATGAACGGGGTAGTGAACTAAATTTTTTTTGTTTCCTACCCCGGACTACACACACGGTCAAATGTCCTGCACGGGGTTCTCTGCGTGCTTATATAAACATATGCGCACTTCCTTGTAAGACCGTACATGTGAATCGGGGCGAATTCAACGCGCACTTGTATATCGCAAAATACAAATAGATATTTTATGTGGTAGGCAATAGGTATAAAAAGAAGAGACCGGTCAACGGATTAACCCGGTATAGCCGTATTGGTATACCCATATTATGGTTTTTTTTTTGTGTTGACCTGCGTTGCACAATGTTATTTGTGATGATAAGGAAAAACCTGTAGTTCGTGTTTGCCACGCAACCGAGCAGTATATCCGGCGCATTTGCGCCACACGTCTTTGTACTTTCCCAGCTCCGAAAACTTTTGTAAATCCCATATTATAGATGTGCGTTTATTTCCAGTTTTTCTATTTGTTTGATATATATTATATAATATGGTTAATATTTTCTTTCAGACAACTTATAGGGCTAACAATGAGCTACGAATCCCGAGTTATTTAATCATTTTCGAAGCTATCATAATATATAACTATAATTAATTTTATCAAACCAAATTAAAGTTGCAAATTTCAGTGTAGTATAAAAAAATAGTACCCATATTTATTTAACAAATATGAAAAAAAGACTTGGAATACGATTTTTGTTGTTGATCATAAATTACTGATTTAAATTGTTCTTTTATGTATTAAACCTTTTGATTTTTAATACATGAATTATTATTTCATAGACATAAATCGTATAAATAATAAGTATTTTGACGGTTCGTATAGGTATTATCATATTATACTATGTATAATCAATGGTATTATATAACGGCGATGATACATTGCGTAGGTCAAATCGGTGAACCGTCACCGTGAAAAAAAAAGTCCCATAATAATAATTCCCTTTAACCAATAATATTTCATATTTAATAAGACACATTGGAAGAAGTTATATCATGGACCTCGTCTAATGAGATTTGAATACGCAAAGGATACGTCCCCGACCAACCGGTACGGCCGATTCGTTCCGTGTCACCGGATACCCATTGATTACGACGCAAAATCGATAAATCAGCAAGATAATCCAACCCCTTTTACGCATTATATGCCCTTTACTAATGACCGTTTCCCGTACGCATTTTTAGCGACATCACACGTATCTGACTGGTTTATTCCGTTAAGTTCCTTAGAAATGCTTTTATATACAGTCACTATTTTGAAACTTGTTTTATGTTTTAGTCATATATATTTCCTAAACGTACTTAATACTTAAAGCTAACCTAACCAAAAAAAGGAATTTTTTCTCATACCTACCTAAATACTTAGAATTTAAATTATATTATGCCTTTAAATTTATTGCAGACAAAATAAAATAAAAGTTCCCAAACTTTCTCTAAAACACTGGGTACTTATACAAAATAATTGTTCATTTAGCAAATAAAAGATTATACATTATATGGAAATTGGAAACTATACTGTGTTAATATATATTGTGTTAACCATAAATGAATATAAATTACAATATACTTTATGTATGACTTATACGGGTATTATCTTATAAGTTATAAGTTATAATACTTATCATTTCAATATTTTATGCCATAAAAATGTAAATCGGTTCTATCTGTATGTCTGATGTCACAATTTGTCTTTTATTTATATTATTGACTTTTATAACTATAAAATATGATGATGGACTAAAATATTATGAATAATAAATATAATCAATCTCAAAATATCTGTTGGCTTCTGTAATAGTATAATTTGCATATAAATAATAATGAACTATATAAGAAAAATATTCTTATAATGCATTAATGCTGTTAATAAATATTTATAATTTTATATTTCTTTTTTATGATCACTAAAATGATTAAACTTATTTATTTGTTTGAATTTTACTTAAAATACGTAAAGTGGTTTTTGGGTATTAAATATTAATCATCATTATTAGTTGTATATGAGAAAAAATAATGGTTTTTATTTTTTTTTTATTGTATACAATTTGAAAACTTAAATATTAATATTATACATAATTTTGATTTTAAACAGTATGTATGAAATAACCCTTTTACAGCTTATATTATGTGATTTTGTATTACCGGAAATTGATGCGTCATAACAATACTTCAAGGAGTCTTAAAATGTGTCTGAGTTTGATGACCTAGTTAATATAGGTCAATATAGGCTACCTATAGTTTCCTGTCGGATTTTTTAGGAAATAGAAATTCTTTTATTCGAACATAACGGCATTGTGTGTAGATATAAGGTATTCAAGTATTCAACCCTTCCATCCTTTCCCACACACTTTACGCGGACATATTTTCCTTTCAATAATCTTTTTCAATCGAACCTTTATGGCCTAATTACAATATCCTGTTGTGTATTAAATAAGATGATTTTCTCTATTCGTGATATGTAAATGGACAAGACAAGATGTACTTCGTATATATCGATTACAAAACACCCTTTGTTCGACCAAACATTTTAGTGCACCGACCCACGCTATTTGTCGGGGTCATGGTTTGCTAGACATGTGTTTAAAATCATCTTTTTTTAGTAGTATAGAAGGATGTTTATGCCCAACTTGTGGTCGCCATACAACTGTTATGCCGCGTTTCCTGATGGATTCTTCTATTTCCCTTATGCGCGTCTATGGTAACGGGCAATTAGTTCCACCGAAAGTATTATTATGTTTTCACTCTTTCCAAAGAAAAACTTGATATCTACAATACCACAGGGACTATATAGAATGATAAACAATTTATTAGGTTCACATAAAATGTTTTCCCATGTACTTTTTATTTTTTTAGTTTTTACGCTCCACAGCTCGGACACACGCAACCCCTGCCAAAAGAAAATATTTTAATTATAATTAATATTTTATAAAATATTGGTTAATTAATTGCCAAAACGGTTGCATAGTGTAATTGTATTATTTAAATTTCCATAATTTAGTTTTTACTATATAGTTTCCATTTAGCCCATATTACGAAGCTTCCCCCTTTTGTTAAAAATGTATGGATTGTGGAACAAGAGTTACTAGTAGCCTGAGCCGACTAGGTACTGGGATATACATAAATAAAGAATTCGTTAATACATTTCAAAACAATAAATTTGAGCACTGCAACATGCATTAAGGTTATTAAACAACGCAAAATATATGAAATGAGTGCACATTAAAATAGATTTAGACGTTCTTCAGTGGTTATATTATAATTTATAGTTATAGTTATCTACATCTGACTCATCAGTCATCAGTCATCGTTGGGCTTTAGAATCAATCTTTGAATACATTTTTTCTATCATGTTGTAAAAATCGTTGATGACTAAGTCACAAGAACATTGAAGCTTTGTACTTGGGCAATTAAAATGGAAAAACATGGAAAGATATACACAAAAGGCAGGATGGACGATTTCCAACATGTACGAAAACAATAAACAATTTTTCACGGACCTGTGGCTTTGAAAGCGATGTGTAATTGTAGACTTATTGCTTGCATGGAGGGTTAAATATTTTTCTACCCTTATTTAGCCACGGTTATCAGTCACGGGGAAGCCATCATCTTGTAAACGAGCTTGTAATTTTTTCACATTTACTCGATCATTGTTTAGTCAGCTTAGTGCATTCATGAAAATATAACTGTAATATCTATAATATGCAAATTTGTATTAGAGTTTGAATGTGAACCGTTTATAAAAACTTAAAAGCCATAATTTCTTAAAATAAACTGGTTGGTGAAATAAAGAAGCAGTAATTTATTATATTAATGATTATAAAAAAAATTAAATTAAATAAGGTAACATTTAGAAATATTCAACAGGCTTTCTGGCTTAACATTTTAGATCAATTAAAATCTTTAATTTATTGTATTATTAATGATGCAAATATGATTATGAACTATGATTGTTATATACCTATCGACAACTAGTATAATTAAAAACTATTATATGGAAGGCTGTAAATATTATAAATTTATTTTTGGAGCGTTATTTTATTTATGATGAATTGTTAACTTTCAAAAAAATGTTTTTGTTATATTACTTATTACTTGATTAGTTATTGTATTTTAATCATATTACTATAAATGTATTAGGTATTAGGTACCTAATAGGATTAGGTGCTATATTTTTTGTGGTTTTACTATTAGGTTCTAGAAAGTAGTCAACTTTTTTAATAAGAAACTTCTCTTGTTACTATAATATGTAAAATATAAACATAACATTCCTCCAATCCACCGGACATTGTTATGAGTGGAGTTTTAGTATATTTTTGTGGCATGTTTGTGTACATGAATCAATATTATGATAGGTACCAGAATAAATAGGTCTAACTTGTCGAGTGTAGTTTATAATAATATGTTAATACTTAGAAAAAACACATGTTGAAATCGAAGATAGTGAATTATTTACTCAGTACTCGAACAGAAATATAAACCTAACATTTTACAGGCCCATTTATATTCAATTTTCACTTTTGACTACAAGTAAAAATAGTTTAGCTTTAAAATAAAGTATGGTACATAATTATTATGGTTCAGAATTAAATATTATTGTAACAACAAACAATATTAATTACCTATATGGGTATACCTATAATATTTTGCGTGTTCCATAATAATTTCAATGACTTTTCCTGATACCGCTTAATTATTTCTAAGTTATCTGCACTCTGCAGTGCCCAAGTTATTAGCTATAATTATTTTTTAACTTCGCTTAGTGCTCAGAACAGTTCCGCATCCGCCGCAGCCAAGATAGTTTCGAAACCGTGTATCGGTGCTACCAATATCCTGACAATACCCATTGGGTTTCGGTGGGCTGTCAGAATGAGCATGAAAAAAAAAATTAGGAGCTAGACGTCTTTTATTGACCTACCTTAAAAAAATTCGTACATTCGCTGACTGCAAATGACGAAACTGACTGCGGGAGACGATAAAACCCACGGAATTCATTATTCGTATTCGCGACTAGGATTAAGAAATATTCCCCTCCAAACTCATTGTGCATTATAGTAAAATTAAAACATTATAGTTAACTATGTGTGCGCTGCCTTTATTATATTTGAATTATTGAACACATTTGTGTAACAAGCCATCTTTCAGTTATTATTCGTAATTTCAAATGTAATTAATTAATGTATGTAAGGTATTTTATTGTATTGATTAAAATCGTATTTATTATTTAAATTTAGTAAAAAATTTATATCTATAAAAAAAAAATAGTAGGTGCTTTAATGTAATATTATAGTTATTGTTAATATTTTTAATTTGCACCAATAATTTGTAAACCTTTAAGTAAAATATTTTATAAGCATCAATTCCGCTTTTATTTTTGTATGGGAAAAAAATTGTGCTAATATAACAGTGAAAAAAAATTAACCTTCCTTTTGCATATAGTATTACAAAAGAGCTTGTATGTGTTCCAGTGAGTTTTTAAAAAAACTACTTTAACGTATTTGTAGATACAATGTTTTTAATTGTTTTTCGTATTGTTTTAATAATCTTTTGTGTTGGCAAATAATAATCATGAAACCAACAAGAAGACAAATTAGGGTGACACATTTAGTTTCGCAACTTCCCCTTAAGGATTCGCCCTCTCGAACCCATTGAATCGTTGCCAACCGCCCAGACATTCGTTGCATTAGAAAAAACTCAAATTTTGTATATTGAAACTTATAAAATAAGTATGTATCGACATGCTCGTTTTTTTTTGTAAGGCTCTCCCCCAAACAAAGACTTCAATGATTAATAAAATAAAAAAAAACGTTAAGGATGTCCGCGCAATATTTATTCTCCCTCTCAGACCCACGCGCAACATGGATAAAATGCTTTAATCTATAATAGTTTTTATGATCTTCGAGTAATCTTAAAGTAATCTCACCTATTAACAAAAGTATAGAGGATAAGATTTTTGAGGGCTTACATATTGGTTTTATTATATATTATAATTTGACTTTGTATTCGACTTTCAGAATAAAAAAAAAAAATTTTAATTTAAATGATGTTTGAATTGTTTTGAGACAATATTTAGACAAATGAATATATTATCATATCTTCAAAAATATTATTCTTATTAATTTTTGTAATGTGTGATTTACTCTAAGAAGTAAGATAACTCAAAACAATGATTCTGTGTAAATGCGTTTTGTCTATGTTGCGTGTGTGCCAGATAGAGAAAACAAACAGTGCGCGGTTATATTATTATTATACATACAAAAATATATACTACCTGCCTATACCTATACATATTTCGACTTATAATTAATATTTAAATATTTTGTTTATTCTAGGAATGGGAGTTGTTAGTTATCTCTAAATTGGAATGGAGAATTGTAGCAGTCACCAGTTTTGATTACGTGGATCATATTATGGAACAAATTAAGTGGAAAAGACGAAATGATTCGATGCTCAGGAGGCATATGTTGACGCTCATCTCCTTCTGTTATATCGGTAAGTACTGCTGACGAAAGTTTATAAGCAATAGCAATAGTCAATTGACAATAGTGTGTATACAGATTTTTATTACATTTTATCGGAGATCAACGACCGAAAACTAGGTGACATTAAACTAATTTAGCCCACATTTGTTTTATTAGTAATTATAATTATCACAGGTTAATATAACATAATACATAAATTAAAAAAAAAAAGTTCATTATGATAAGCCACGTTGTTGTAACAGTTGTTCCTAAAGTGCGGACTTAATAATAGCTACCTCCGTGTTTTTCCTTCAATTCAGTGCACTGCACTGTATAGGAAACAGAAAAAAAAAATCGTCATCTATCCAATCATAATAATTATAGTAAATATTGAAGATGTCAATGTATACAGGTGGGATTTATTGTTTAGTTTTAATTTATTTCGGCAGTGACAAATTATTGTCCTTCAAAGACACGAGTAGTCATGATACTACGTAGTACGTATTACGTAGGTACCCCTTAAATATTAAAAGTAACTATTAATAGTAGTCGTAGTTGTAAGTGTATATATGTATAAAATGCAGTATTCGTTGACGAACGTTTCGCTTTCCGCGGCTATTCACCTCGGTTGCAATGTCAACTCGTTAATTTACATGTTTTCGGGTTACAAATGAACTCTAAAACATTATTTAACGATTATTCATATGAGTGTGTCTGTCTCGGTGGCGTTAACATAAATGTCCAAGGTCGGTTTGGGACTTTTAAATCAAACATGTAAAAAAAATAAAATGAAACACTGTTTGGAAAACCATGAGCAGAGGGTTCTTCAATAATATCGTTATCTATGTACCTATGTTTGTTTCCATGCACAACAATATACAACAATAGTCTAATTGTTTTTATATGTGTGCAAAAAAATGTGGGTTTAATAAACTTTTAGTTATATTAAAAATTTGCGTTTAGCCGTTTGTACCTAATACGTTACACGATTTAAAGTTTTTTTCTTTTTATTATTTGTGACCATCGTGCAAAACCTATAGGTATAATAGTGATGGTCTGATCAACAAAATAATAATATGTTCATTTTCATGGCGTTCAATAACCTCGCAATTACATTAATAATTATACAGCTCCTATATCATTCAAAATATAATACTCTTCACTGGTTATATAATGCGTATTCAAAAGTATACAATAATTTAACATTTTTATATATTCATTATTATTTTTTATTTCCATGAATTCGTCGAAAATGCGTTTTATATATTTCACACATACGTACTCGTTTATAGAGACTTTAATAGTGGATGACGTTTGAAATATTTGTTTTGACCCTTTTGTATGTTTGGTTTTGTACCGATAGGCGATAACTTTTCATTTTCATATAAATTATTATTATAATATTCGTGTATAATGATATCCATTTATTCAATATTTTATGATATAATTAGATATACTTAGTAAGTAGGATAATATATTGTTATATGTGCGTTCTTTTCCCATAATTGGAAACGGATGCAGTTATCTTTTATAATTTTTTTCTCAAATAAATCATATACATATAGCTATATTATGGATATTAGAATCAAACATGCCTGTTATAAAATTATAATTTTTTAGATAAAATAGATATAGAAGGCGGAGTAGTAATGTTTAATATTTGAGAACGGTCGAGAGATTATGTTATGATTTATAATTAATATCATATTACACTATAGTATTTTGTCTACCTAATAAGTTTTATGAGCTAAAATATGAATTTTTAGTTAAATTTCCAATTATTGACAAGTTTGGTTGCAGCAATGTCTATGTCGTAATAAAGTTTTTACATATTCATATCGTACTTCGGGCTGGTTGATATAGGCGAATATATTTTTGCCCCACCCCCCGCCCCACACACGCCGACTGACGGGAGAGTGCTACGTTATTTCGCAGCTGCTCTGCTCACATTGTATAATATTATATAATATATAGGTATGAAGCTATTGTACGCACACAGGTACTATTCGTATGACTACTGCAGGGCCTTTCACAAACAATATAAAATATAAATAGTAAAGAGCGAAAGACCTTTTAAAAAAAAAGCAGATAGGTAAGGTTTCCCCCCTATTTAGCACGCGCTGTATGCTCCACCATTCCCCTCCGACAGTATTCTTGCTACCGGTGGTGTGTTTTGATTTAGTAAATAGCTCCGGGACTTACGCCCGAAAAATGAGCGGAGGAGTGGGGATCACACATCTGCCGCTAGACGAATTTCTATACACTATAACTAAATTATGCATGTCATTACAGTATTACACGAAGTCGAACAATCTAATTAAAATATATCGGTAGAATTCTACCTTAAATAATATTAATTGTTTAGTATCCATGTATTATAATTGTAGGTACTAATAATATTATGTGCCAGCAGTCTGCAAATTTTTGTCAAATAATTATCAAGTTGCGGTTTTAATAATATTAATTTAGTATCGATATGACGATAATATTATGTAAGATCGATAGTTTTTTATTACCTTTTCCGTCAAATGTGACAATAATCTGATATTCTGATGGTTGTCACTTATCTGGTCTGTTGTTTTAAAAAAGATTTAATATCGTGATAATAATATTATAAATAGTTTTATTTTTGCGTTGAGTTATTTATGAATCATTATCATACAATTTCTAATTTTGATTTGTAACATTATGGTCTAATTTTAATTTTTCATGCGGGCCATGTCTGCATGAATCAATCCAAAAGGGAAAATATTTAAGTAATTAAATTGGCAATGGTATTTAATTTTGTTTTTATACTGGCTGTCACGTGTTCTTTTGAAGTAGAATAACTATTTATCTATAAATGGAATATGGATACTTATTGTTAGTTTCATAATACCGTAGTTAGATTTTCCATCAAATGCCATGATGATTTTTGGCGCCTATAGGGGCAAAATTAGAGGGAAAATAATAAGGGAGAAAACTGATTATTTATAAAACAGGTATTTTTCATTTATATTCATCGTTTAAACTGATTTAATTGGCTGTTGTCATTTTGATAGGTGACGACTGACTACTGACTAGTCTGTAGACTTAATTTGTTTTTTCATAACTAATAATACGATTGAGTACGCTGTACATCTTTTTATTTTCTGTTAATATTATCAGCACCTCGTATTTTATATCTTGGTAATAATCCTAGCGACCACGTGTAATATTACAGTTGCCCCAATCAATATAAGATACCTACTTTCCCAGTTTATTTGTTTGATTAGAGATTATGTATTTATGAATTAATTATGTGTACATGGACATGAAACGCGTGCTCTCGACTTTTCGTTGTTCGATTATTACTGTATATCTGTATCAATATTATAATTATTATAAAATAAATACATACAGGTATAATATGTACATCTGTATATAAATAATTATACGAAATCATCATCTGGTGCTAGCGGTGTAAGACTAAATTATAAAAAAAATAAGTATACACAAGCCACCTGTAAATATTGTTACTTGTTAGTACGAATATATAGGTTTATTATTCAACAGGGCCGCTGCTACAGACCCCCCTCCGTCATCGTCGGAAATGTAGGAAGTATATTACACATAAAGACGGATGTCTTTTAGTCGGTGGTTAATGCCAAGGGTAATTTCCTTGGGCTCGGACAGACGCACGTGATAAGACACGTGCTGGTTATTGAACCTCAGGGTAAACAGCCTTAGTACAGTTATTGCGAGTCTTTTTAGGCGTGTTTACGTAATATATATATGTATACGTATACATTGTGCGCATAAGAACTTAAAAAGAAATTTGTTGTCTATCCTACAGATGTGTCGGTGGCGATGACCTCCATTTTAAAAGTGTGCACTCAAATACTATACCCACCTATTACTATTCTATAATACTACTACTACAGTTTACTATACTATACTGCAACTGCGACGATTACTATACGTACGCTAACGGTAGCAGCTGTACGGCGGCAGACGGTGTGGATCGAGGTGAATGCGGGATGTTTTAATGTCTTGTTGGTTTTTTTTTTTTTTAATTCCACTGTAATAGAGGAAGTGTTCGAAAAAACAAAACAAAAGGACAAGGTGCATTTGATCGAGATGGAAAGCTTCTGTCATGGTGGCCACGTTAAAATATTACTTATTCTATAGGTTTTTAAAATTCAATTGTATTCAGAAAACCCCTTGACTGGATACAAAAACGTCCCGAATAAACTTAACCCATTATCGGGGTTCAAAAACCTCTCTCGACAGTTTGTTTTGTACAAAATATGCTACGATAACAATAACTTATAACATTTTTACCATAATATAAAGATAAACCAAATAATATTTTATAACACTAAAAAATAACATAGAAAACGAGATAATATACTTAACAAAAACTTATCTACTTATAATGAAAATGGTCCATACATTAAATTTTTTAAACATTCCTGTATAATATTTACACCCTTTTAGCTTTACCTACTTAAAATTTAGATGTTAGAAGTTAATTTTGAATTGCAATAATAGTTATAGTGAAAGTTGTAATCCATTTTATATCCATAGTATTCATATTTTTTTAAAACACTTTTCCTGAACACATAATAAATTAATATTTTAAGATTTTGAAAAAAAATATTGTAAATAGATACTTTGTATATTATAATATTACATAATTATATTAATACGTGTTGCTTACCGCGGTGTTATCATTTATTTCCAATTATCTGTTCTAATGGACCGTTCGGTTTGCCCACGTTTAAAAACAAAAACGTTATCCTAGTTTTTACCAAATTAACTGTGGTCATATACGTGATTAATTCCCCCATTAATATGTACAGGAAATTATTATACATTTATCGGATTCGTAAAACTCACAAGAATTTTCAATTTGTTTTGTTTTATCTATTACTCTCTATATATATTATGATTGTAGTAGAAACATTTTATCGTTTAATAAATCGACGATCTGTATCGGAGTCACCACGTGTTCTATACCAGGTGTATGACAGAGAGAAATTATACCAGCGTTGTATGTGCCTACCTCCA